TTTTTTTTACTTTTGGATTCTTTTTTTAAAAAATGGCACCTCTGTTTTTTCTACACCAGACACAACCTGCCAATAGAGGGCAGTGTTCAGCGGTAGAGTTTTAGTGGTGGGAAAACAAGAGAGGTGAAAGTAATCAACCCCAGGGCCACTGAAGGAGAAGGGGGGTGGGGGGGGAGAAGCCTCGGAAGTATGAAAAGCAAAGATCATTTTACTATTTGAGTCTACTTTTTAAAAATAGCAGCTCTGTGTTTTCTACATCAGACACAACCTGCCAATAGAGGGCAGTGTTCAGCGGTAGAGTTTTTTTTTTTGACTTACCTGAGCCAATGTGGGATTGAGTGAATATCATGTTGTGTATTTATCATGGACTCAAAACAAAACTACTAAGTAAAAATATAATTTTCACCAAACAGGAAGTAGTGAAAACTACACCAAACACTCGACACGCCTCGTCCACGTCGTCGTCCACTCACCTTGTAGTGGTCCAGCGAGTCCAGCGCCAGGCGGTGTCCATCTGTGGAGAACATGCTGAGAACTGCCAGTAGCTCAAACACCTGCTTCTTCACCATGGTGTTGGAGGTGTCCAGGGCTGTGGAGCATCATGGCCGCCCATCAGTACAGAGGACAGTACAGAACTGAGACTCAGAATCAACTTCAAATCTAATTCTCTTGTTTACGCCTCGTGTCTGAACGCAGACAGGATGCTGCTCCAGCAGCTCATCTTGGACTTTGCCCTGTGTGGCGTTGTGTTGGGAATAACATCCAGTGCTCAGAGTCTCAGAAATCCACTATTCAGAACATGTGATGTTTAAAGGATTTTCTTTAAAGGTACACTCTAAGTAGATAAGTAGAAGAATCTGCTCCATAGCTTGCTCGTAAATCTCAATATATATATATATATATATTTATATATATATATAGAGATTTACTATTAATATATATATATATATATAGAGAGAGAGAGATTTACGAGCAAGCTATGGATATATATATATATATATATATATAAATATAGCTTTAGCTACATGATTTTCTTTCTATTTTGTGCATTATTCTTCATAATAGTGATGAGTCCTAAGAAAGTAAGTGGTAAGGATGGTGGTGAGAGGAAGAAATGCATGATGACCATGGAAATAAAGTACGATATTGTTGATAAATATTTAATAATTTATATCACAGGAATCCTTATATATTATAATTTTTGTATGTGTATGTCTCTATAGCAATTAAAAACATGTTTTTTCCATTATTATTAGCACTAATAAAGGAGTTTTTTAGAGGGCCGGAATGGATTCATTTTTTTCCTGTTTTTTCTTATGGGAAAACACGATTTGAGATACGAGCACCTCAAGTTACGAGCTCTGTCCTGGAACGGATTATGCTCGTATCTCGATATTGTAATCCAGAGGGCTGCGGCTGAGTTCTAGCCCGCCCGGCGTCAGCCCACGCAGGTGCGCTGCAGCAGAGCGTCGGAGATGCGGGAACATCCTCGTCCCGAGAGCCGGTCCAACGCCTCCAGGAGCAGGTCCAGCCCGCTCAGCTCCAAGAACTGGACCATCCATGTCTGGTCGCTGCCTTCCAGACGCCGTTTCAGCCCTGAGTAGTTGACCACTGTGGGCACTTGCAGCAGTCTGATGCACAGCTCCGGGTCAGCGCTTTCCAGATTGGCCTCCTGCTGGGTGTCGGAGTCCTGCGAGGAACCCAGGCGGTCCCTGACGGCTGCCCACTTCTTTTTCCCATCAGACTTTCCTGACATGATAGCAGTAGGACTGGAGAAATAAAAGAAGGGAAAATGATGAAAAAAAACTGACGACAGATATTTTACAGCTGCTGCCGTTATCTGGCCAAGCTCATGTCTGCTCGTGTTTGCAATGACGTCTAATGATTATTGCCCAGAATGCAGTGCTGCGGTTACTATCACAAGTTCAGGAAGCAGGCCACGACAGGGCCTAATCAGAAAGGAAACTGAATGGGAAACGACAGCTCGGCAGTTTGTAGATGATGGAATGTCAGTAGTCATCAACAGCGTTGCACAACATTCCATCTTAATCCTGCACTGGAGACCAGGGAACGACGGTCGGCCCCGCCCACAGCACACAGTCAGACTGAGTGTTACCCGGACAATGAAGGTCACGGTCCTCTTATCCAATTAAATCCAATCATTACACGATCGTAAACAATGGCCGCAGAGAACAAACCCCATTTTAACAACAGCAGAGAAAATGCATTTTCACCACCAACACTAATTGGCTCATAAAGAGATAATGTCCTGACACAGAACTATCATCACCGATCAAAGAAATCCTGCATGGACTTGTATAAAGTCGGATGAGCCAGAAATCATCCACAGGTTAGTCTAAGACAAGTTCCGGCACATTCAGACTCGGAACGATCCAAAGGATGGACACGTTGAAGTCTTGACTCAACCCCCCCCACCCCACCCACACACCCTCCAAAAAAAACAACTGCGCTGCAGACAGATGTGAGGTGGACCCACAGCAGTGAGAGTGGTTCCTCTGTCAACTGACGACTTCACTCTTGGCAAACATCAGATACACAGATGAGACCTGGGATGATGAGTAAGTCACTCTTGGCAAACATCAGATACACAGACCTGCGATGATGAGTAAGATAAGTCCGAAACAATGTTACGGTAAAAGGTCAATGAGTTGTTTTTTTTTAATCATACTGTAGTCGATTTAAGGATGTGCTCAGTGAAAACAGCTGAGGACAAAGAGATAAGATTAGAAAACGGAGTCTAGAGGATATATGTTCGCACATGCTAGTTAGCTTCCCTAACTAGCGTGTGCTAGCAAAACCTAAAAAGCAAATCCCAATGTAAAAATGATTTGTTTTCTCGAGAACTGACCTATTTATTGATCGGCAGCACAAATCATTGATCACCATAGTCCTGCTCTAAACCTTTGAACTGAAGTTAAAACTCAAGCTTATCTCTTAGCAGTTAGCATCTTAGGAGTATGAGATAGTTGTGGCTGTAACTGTTGCACTGAATAAATGTAAGTATGAGATAGTTGTGGCTGTAACTGTTACACTGAATAAATGTACTCCATAATCTATTAATACATTTTTCTGTAATTGGTTATTATTTATTCATGTTAATAATTCTGTACGTTGCATTTTTTTTAATTTATCAGGTGAAGAAACTCACCAGCATTGACTTTATTATATGGCAATCAAATAGTTGTTGAGCTCCTGTGGGCCACACAAAATTACTTGGCGGGAAGCATTTGGCCCGCGGGTCCCAGTACCGGTCCATCTGTCATTTGGTACCAGGCCGCAGTGGGACACCGTGAAAAAATGTACTTGAGTTTTCAGAATCCAGTCATATCCCTTTACTGTTTTCATTCAATGATCATCTGTCAATGTTTCAAAACAACAGGTCAAAGGTCATTCAGACTCTGAAACTAACAGAAGAAAGTCTGGATGATTTTATTTTGAAAATGTAAAGATCCTTTAACGATGGCACGGTATTACCGCTTCGCAGTAACGTCCAATACCGGCCGACCGGTCCTTGGGGA